GCAGCCCTTGTGAGCTCCTGGCTGCATCCCTTGGGTCTTTAGGACTTCGGTACACAATGGCTGACTTCCAATTACCAGTAGATGCATCTCTGTGCCTGGGGCTCTCTCCAGTGCCAAGAAAATGCCTCTGCTCTTGCACAGACAGCCTGGAGTGTCTGAATATTAACATTCCTGGAAGCAGTGCTCAAGTGATGTCTGATGGAAGTTGGTATGTCGACACCCAGCTCTATCTCCCATTAGGTACAATAATTCTGGTGTGGGCTAATCCTACACCCTTGCCCAAAGTTGCCCTGCAGCATTAAACTCTGGCCACTCACAGCGGCAGCTGGCACGATACAGTATCCAGGTTTGACTGCTCTCCTTTCTGTGTCTTACAGCCCCCCCCCCCCCCCCCCAGTGTTCCCTTCACTTCTCAGATAAACTACTTGCACTCAAATCTGTGTCTCAGAGCGTGTTTTGAGTGAACCATACTAAGGCAGATTTCTACCTGAAAATTTCAAACAACGCTAACAGAAGCCAGGCAAGAAATAACATTTAATAAGCAAGGAAAGAATCCAATCTCCCATCCTCTTGTGTGTTTTATAACCCTGGGCACTGATAAAAACAAAAGTGCTAGTCTTAGCAAGATTCTTGACCATTAAGGATACATTTAGTTCTGATGAGGGGACCTGACAGTGGGACATTTTTTAAAGGTAGAAAGTGAACTAAAATACATGACAGAATCACCAGAAAGGCTTCAAAGAAAAATGTCTCCCAGAAAATTTGTCTAAGTTGGTCTTAACTAAAATGTTCCTTTACCTGGAAAGATTTCCCATACATTCCGAGTATTAAAGATTTACTCTCACCCTGGCCGGTTTGACTCAGCGGTTAGAGCGTCGGCCTGCAGACCAGAGACCTGGGTTCGGTTCCCGCTAAGGGCACGTACCTCGGTTGCAGTTTGTCCCCGGTCCCGGTTGGGGTTGTGTGGGTGGCGACCATGCAATGTGTCTCTCTCACATCAATGTTTCTCTCTCTCTTCCTCCCTCTCTCCCTCCCGCTTTATCTGAAGATGAATGCAAAAATGTCCTCGGGTGAGGATTTAAAAAAAAAAAAAAAAAAGACTCACTCTCTATGCTAACAGTGATGTCCCCTGATGAAAACTCAGGTCAGGTTATGGAACCCTAAAAAGAGGCATGGCAAGCCCAAGAGCATCACATATAATCAGTTTTATTGCCAGGTAAGAAATTCATATTAATATAGTGAATACATATGTTTACAAATAAACATTCTTAGAAAACAAACAAATGTTTTTTGTCTTCGTTGTAGGAAGTGTTATTGGTATCATAAACTCTGAAGTTGTTGACGAGTATTAACACAGGTTTACTTGCAGAACATACGGTTACTAAAATATTCGCACATAAAATATGCTCCATTTGCACAAAAACTTGGGGAGAGTTAGATGGGGAGGCCAGGCAGAGCCCAAGGCGGATGGGGGCTGAGACGCTCTGGGGAGGCCAAGGGAAGTCAGACTGTGGTCCCATGGGGTTGGAGGTCAGGATAGCTAAAGGCAAGTAGAGGCTGGTGCCAGGGCATGGGGTGGGGGAGGAATCGTCTCTCTGCTTTACTCTGGATCCTCTTCTATGTCTCCCTCTTCTAGCTACTGGATCCTTGTTGATCCACAGCAGTCACAGTCCCCTAGGTCAACCCTCATGACACTCTTTCAGCATCTGGAGGTCTGTCCACTCTCCCCAGAGGAGGCCAAAGAATATACTTCCCTGGCCACACTTCCCCCCTCCATTTGGTTCCCAAAGCCAACTGGAAGGTGATGAGACTGAGAAGTACTGTTCCTCTTGGGCCATCATCCCTCCTACATCCTTTTGACCATACCACAGCTTTGCTGCTCAGGTTGTAGCTGCAGACCCCCAACTAACAGAAGTCACTGGACAACGGTGACTCAGAACAGAAGGAACATGGAAAATAAATAAAATCCTGTCGATTTAGAGACCAAGAACGGTCCTTAATCAGGGCTGGGAGTTAAGGTGAGATGGAATGAGTTGAGGGCAGGGAGCAAAGCTGAGCTAAGAGGGAGACTAGAATGATAGAACTCCTAAGCTGCAGAGAACCTCCCAGATAAGCCAGCCGAGTGTTTCCTGAAGCATGGGCTGTGTACCACTAGCATACGAACAATGACTTTAAGTAGTACATGGACAGAGCACTAATTAGCCTTGAGTCACATGGGAAATGAGTTCCTTTGCATGTTTCTCAGTCCAGCTGGTTACTTTGAGGAGCAAGTCTGCATTGGAGGCTGGTATATCTTTAACAACTCTTTAATATCTGCTAATCTTGTTTTAATAAAAAAACAGGGGGGGGGATGAGAAGGATTGAAAGAGAGAGAGAGAGAGAAAGTGCAAACAACAGGCTCTAGGTTCAGACCCTTCCACGGGCTCTAGTATCTCACTAGAATTTGACAATTGGTGCTTTGTTCCCTTTGTACTGATTTTTATTCTTACTTTTTATTTAGGGTGACTGATACTGGCATTCTAATTATGATAAGGGCAGGGAGTTCCTCTTTTAAAAGTTAGATGTATTAGCCCTGGCCAGTTTGGTTCAGCGATTAGAGCATTGGCCCGCAGACCAGAGAGACCGGGTTCAGTTCCCGCTAAGGGCACGTACCACGGTTGCAGTTTGTCCCCAGCCCCGGTTGGGGTCGTGTGGGTGGCAGCCAGTCGATGTGTCTCTCTCATATTGATGTTTATCTCTCTCTTTCTCTTCCTCTTTCTCTCCTTCCAGCTCTATCTGAAGATGAATGCAAAAATGTCCTCAGGTGAGGATTAAAAAAAAAGTTAAATGTATTCAAAATGAGTCAAGTTAGATACAAATACTGTGGCAGTGAGACAGAGACGCCAAACGTGTGTTGCAGGTCCACAGGTGACTAAGTCAAGGGAACCACGCCCGGGGGTGTTCACTCCACTCTGCAGAGCACTGGGTCCCAGCAAAGAGGCGGAGGAAGTGGGCACTAAATCTCCCGCCCAGCACAGAGCCTCATTATGAAAGGGGATCTTATACTGTGGCTTCTGTGCACAATCTCATTTTACATAAATGGGCAGAGGGTGTGCGATTTCAGAAATGATGAAAAGCTTGATCAGGCCTCAGTTCCCCGTGTCTGAGGTCAGAGACTAAGGCCCAGAGAGATGAAATGCATTGTCAATGCCCCCAGGTCAGCTGGGAGTGAACAGAAGGACCACCCGGTTTCCCTGGTCCTGTGATGTCAGAGAGAGAGATGGACACTGGAACTCAGCATCCCAGGAAATGCTCTGTCTTGTTGGGACCACGTGCAGCTTCTGACACCAGAACAGCTAGAGGGGCTCACAAAGGTTCCTGTTAATCAGCTATGACCTTTAGAGACCGGCTGAAAACGTCTTACCTTAAATACACATCTCTTCTCACCCAATACCCCTTTTTGGACTTCCACAAAGCAAATAGAACTAGCGTAAAAACTGCTATTGGCTGTGAGAACCAACCTGAAAACAACCTCAGGGTGTTCTGGATGGGAGAGGAACACACTTGAGTGTCTGGCGAGGTGATTTGCAGGGTCCCTGGGAATTACGGGACGTGGAAATGCTTAATAGGTTTGGGGAGCAAGAAAATGGTAGATCATGGATTTCTGCCAGTGTGGGAGGTAGGGGGATCTTGGTCTTTAGGTACCCCTGGCACTGTTCAGCCCCCCCAGAGGGGTGATGGGGTGGGGCTCACCAACAAAGGGAGGATGGAAACATCTTCTACCACTGCAGAAAAACAGGAGGAAGGGAGGCTAATAGAACACAGGTTGCACTTGTGAAATGAGACTGTCACTAAACAGTAACACATTGAAGGCACCACCCACGCTTATGACATTTTCAGTCCAAAGCAGTTGAAACTCGGCAGCGGCGGCGGCAACGGGCGGAAGGGAAGGAGTGGGAAACCAACAGTTCGTGGAGGACTGGTCAGTGTGTCTGTGTCTTGTCTCAGAGACAGAGGGACGTGCCAGAAATCGGGCACTCCTAGGTCCCCTTCTCACCTCTTGTTGACTTTTCAGCTCTGATTTTGCTTTTCATTGTTCTTGATGTCATCATTGACTTCTTAAGTCTTGAAGATTTGGGATAAAAATGAGTTTGCTGTTCTTGTCTGTTTTGTAGTGGGCTTAAATTTCATTTTTCTTTTTTTTAAAAAAAAGTTATTTAATACTCTCTGGACCCTCTCCCCACCATAAAAGCTCATCCCTCCCATTTCCATGGTCATGGTCTTAATGGGAGTCCTAACATGTTCTTTCTTCTCTAGTCACTGGTAGCGGGTCAGGGTCATTTACGTTTTGTGAGACTGAGTGTGTGTTGTTTTTTGCTTCCAACATTGATGATATGAAAAGGACTATAAATAGAATGGTTAGGGTCCAGTTACTGTCTCATGCTCATCAAAATTGTGTGCCCAGGTCACCACTTCTTGGGATTAGGAAATGCTTGTAATAAGCACAGATTTCTCCCAAATGACTCCTCTTTGCAAATAAACTCATCTCCGGTCCACCCTCATTTCCTGCCCTGCTTCTACCCTGGCTCCTTCACCCAGAAACAGACAGTTCATGGCAAATGGTAGATGTGCTCAAACGGGCAATTGCTCTAAATTGTGCTACTGTTATTTCTCATCATGGATTTTAGTTTCAAGTTAGGAGGAAAAGAGAAATGAACCTCCACGGTTTGGGCAAGTGAGCCAGCAGCCTTGGGGCTGAAGTCGAAAGAGTGTGCCTCAGTTTCCCCTTTTCAATATTGCTGGACGCCCATGCCTCGTTTCTGCTCAGCTGCCCACCAACGCGTGTTAGGCAAGACCCAGGAGAAGCGTGATCAGTGTCACCAGCGGGTTTCTGGTCGGTGGGTGTGGAGAGGGACTGTGTGGGTGGTTGTGTTGGAGGAGGCCAGGGAGGGGGTGAGCAGGATATTTTTTGCCTCTCAGTTGATTGTGGTCTCCAGGACGCTCCATGGAGCGAAGAAAGCTCAGACAGTCACTTCTGTTTTGCTGTTGGTGATGAAGTACGGCTGTGGGGGTGGGTGGTGCAGGGTGCGAGATCCCAAGGGGTCGCTGGAGCCTGACTCGGCAGTGCCAAGCTTGCCCTTGTTGCTGTAACCCTGCCGCCGGAGAGACTGCTCGCTGGGGTCCCAGCCCTTGAAGGTGGTGGTGGAATTGTAGGCCAGGGGGTGTGGGGGCGTCTTGTTGGTACGAGACTTCTGTCCGTTCTGCTTGGCAGGGCCGTGCTCGGGGCTGAAGGCCCGCGGCTCATCCTCCACTCGCACGGGGTGCAGAGGGAGGTTCCCCTTGGCGGCAAGCTCAGCCAGGTGCCGGCGCTTGGAGAAGAAGTCATCATTGGCCTTGTCGGCTGGACAGTGGGGCAGGTGGACGGAGAAGGGGAGGAGAGAGGAGAGAGAGAGAGAGAGTTAGGGACTGGCAAAACAACCCGAAAACGGCATCAGAGTGGGCCACAGTCCAAACGACACACACATTAGAAACTCCACCTGGAACAGACAGAAGGAAGGACAGGGCGGTGTCCTTGGCACAGACAAGAGCAGGACAGAGAGGGCCAGGGCATCCCCGACAGCACCCCTAGACCCTGTCAGATAAACACTTCTCCCACCACTCACGCCTCACGCTGACACCCTTGGCTTTCTTATAAAATGCAAGAGTTGTTTCTTCGTTATTAACATGATACGTTCTTGTTAGAGAAAATATTGACCGTGTGGAGAGAGATTTGTATCTGTCCCCACCACTCAAGCGAGCTGATAGCGACACTTGAGTGTGGTCGTCTCAATAAACAGAATTAATCGGGGATTTTTCTTAGTGTGCTTGTTTTTAGCAGCTAAGCAGACCCCTGTTCGAATCTCAACTCAACCAACTACTAGCAGTGTAACTTGGAGTAAATGACTTAACTTTTATTATCATCGGCTTCTGCATAAGGCAAGTATGCACAATAAAAAGTATGTTTCATAGGACTGTTTGGAGGGTTGAATGTTATGATGTGTGTGAAGTGCTTAAATATTAGCCACCACCATTATCATCATTATCATTGTGAATAGCTGATTTCTCATGTAATATTCTGTCAAGCATTCCCCCCTGCTGTTATAAATTATTAATAAACGGATTTGAATGCCTACAGAATATTTTATTGAATGGAACTATTAAAAGTGAATCAATCACCCTGTCAATGTACATTCAATTGTGCCAATACTTGGCTAACATAAATAAAGCTGAGAAGAGACTATTCTAGACGAAACCTCTCTTTGCACTTAGAATTTAGAACGATGTTAAAAATAGCTTCTCAATCTACATCAGAGGATGGCACACTATAGCCCATGGACTAAATCCAGCCACTGCCTATTTTTGAGAATAAAGTTTTACTGGAACACAGCCACACTTATTCATTTTCCTGTGGCCTGTGGCTGTTTTTGCTCTGCAGTGGTAGCTGTGAGTACCTGTGACAGAGACTGCCTGGCTCACGCCTGGAATATTTACTATTCAGCCCTGAAATGAATTACCTAAAGTGAAATTACTTTTAAAGGGCGTAAACATTATTAAGGCCCTTGATATATATTGCCAACTGTGCTAAGAAAAAGTTATAACAATCTCCACTCCATTTCACCACACTCTCCAGACTGATTTCTGGCCCCCTTTCTTTTTTACTGTTTTTTTCTCTCTCTCTCCCTTTCCCTTTCTCTTCCTTTCTTCCTTCTCTTTCTTCCTTTCTCTTTTTCTTTCTTTCTCTCATTCTTTTCCCTTCCTTCTCTCCTCCCTCCCTCCCTCCCTTCCTTCCTCTTTCCTTCTTCCCTCTCTCTCTTTCCCTATTTATTTATTTGATAAATGTATGAGATCTTTTATTTGATTTTTCTCTTACAATTATTTCCTTATATGATCCGCTACACTTCTTAAATTAACTTCTTTTCAATACACCTTTGAATCTCCATCTCTCAGGAGACCAGAAATAGTTGCTGCACAACATCCCGTTCTATTAGATATGTGAATTCATGGGGACCATCACAGTTCCATGTTTCTTTTCTCGTTTGATCCTTTCAACAACCCTGATTTTAGCCCCTGCTGGATGGAGTACGAAATTGTCTAACTCAGGCATGTGAACTGATGTAACGAAGATGACACAAAGCTAGTGGCTAAGCCAGGGTAGAACCTACATCTAATAGACATTATTTGATGCTTTTGAAAGGCCAGGGAGGGAAAGCTTTCATAACTAAGTGGGCAAAAATATCCGCCACTTGCCCCTCTTGGTCCATGGCAGACATCACTCATTCATCACAGTGCTCTCTCCTGGCAAATGTGGCCTCCACTCCAACTCCTCAACACAATGCCCCAGGAAGCCGCAGAATAGAGATTCCTTCTCAACACAATGCCCCAGGAAGCCGCAGGATGACTTTCCAGGCTTACATCCACTTTAAGTTGGGTTTCTGTTGCTGCCAAAGCAAATTGCCTTGACAGATACAATCTTTCAAGAGAAAGTCCTCCTTTCCATGAATTCTAGAGCTGTCTGAAGATCCAGAATGTCGAAGCCACAAGGAACCAGGGAGTCTGTTACTGAAGATGCTAAGAGCACACACGCTTTCCTGAAATACCGCGCACTGCTTCACATGGCCTGGGTTAGATTAGATCTCCATCTCTCCGCCTTCCAGAGGCGAGGTCTAGCTTTCCAATGCCACGAATGTTCCATAGCAGGATGCTCTGATATCCCCCTTGAACTACAAGTTCATGTATCCAGTTACATCCAGGACAGATTCTCTGGCATCTCCCACTCCAGATGGCTATGCCTGAACCGGCTCTGTCCATCAGGCTCGTCCTTCTCTCTGGCATGGGGTCACCAACTCTCTAGTCACTCAAGCCACAAACAGGGGAGCAGTTGCTGACTTTATCCTCCTCTCCTCCCTAGCACAACTGCTAAGCCACAAGTCCTTGTATCTTAGCCAAATACCTCTCTAACCTATCCCCCCCACTCTGACTAATGCCCCACTCCTTGCCTTGAGTTTCCCCTCCCCCAGTCCATGCTCCACACTGCAGTCAAAGCATGTTTCTAAAATACAAAACCGACAATGCCACTCATCCACCAAAACCTCTGAGCAGTTTGTTCAGTCATGTAGTCCTTCAGGTAGGCTTGGGGCATGTGCTAGACACTGGAAATACAAGGCAGAATCAGAAACAGACTTGGTCCCTGACCTCATGGGGTGGACATTCTGCTAGGGAGGGACAGATAGTGACCAAATAGTCCCACAAATTACACAAAGTATAAATGTGGTTTTATGGTAAGTGCTAGGAAGAATATCTGGTCTTATGAGTCCAATGAGGTCTCTGAGTTGGTCGGACGGCTGGATGTTGGAACTGAGCTATTCCACGCCTTCATCGACGTAGAGGTCTCTATTATTCATCTTTTGAAACTTGGCTAAGGTGTTGCTTCCAGATTCCCTCAGGCTCCCTCAGGTACTGCAGCTCTATCTTAGCACTGACCTTGCTGCTTTTTAAGTTTTCATTTTCATCTCTTTGTCCTCCCTAGACCATGAGTGTTCCGAGAGGAGGGGACCCTATATTTCCATCTGTGCAACTCAGTGGCTTGCCATCTTGACAGCACTTGGGGGAGCTTTTATTTATTCATGTTCTCTTTATTGATTTTAGAGACAGAGGAAGGGAGAGAGAGAGAGAGATAAAAACATCAATGAGAGAGAACATCCATTGGCTGCCTCCTGCATGCCCCAGACTGGGGATTTGGCCCCCAACCTGAGCATGTGCCCTGACCAGAAATCCAACCGGTGATCTCTTGGTGCATGGGTCGATGCTCAACCACTGAGACACACCAGCCAGGCAACTTGCTAGGGTTTTTATTGGGATTGCATTGAATCTATATATTAAATCGGGAAGAACTGACATCTTGGTAATACTGGATTTTTGTGAAGAATTAAAAGGCAGTGACCTCCCATCTTGCTCCTATGATCCCCAGCTGCCTCTCATGGCAGATACCTCTCCCTTCTAGGAAGTTTAACAAGGTCAGATCCCACCATGGGAGGCTCTTGTCCCTGGCACGTATCATGCCTGCTATTTTACACTCCTTTGCGCTATTCATTCATTATTGTTTATCTCTCCCACTAGAGTTCCAAGAGGGCAAGGCCAGGTCTGATTTTTGCTTATTGTTGCATAAGCAATGTCCAGCCTAGTTCCTGGCAGATATTAGATACTCAATAAATAAACATTCAGTGAATGAATGTATGAGCAGAATACTGTAACAGAATAGAGAATACCAGGGTAGTAGCTGGAGTGGCTACTCCTCTCCCCTTTCCCCCTGGGGGTTTCATTGAAAGGCTCATTCGCTGTCATTACGTCATTCCCACGTTTCTCTTTCCAGACAATGGATTAATCTAAGGCCTGCTCAGAGCAAGGGATGCCTTCAAGGGTTTTTATTTCTGACAAGCTGAGCAAACTGATTATGAAGTAGATGTCCCAACAGCTGAGATAGGTGATGTCTTCTCCAAAAGTTCTAAGGAAAAATAGTCAGAGAGGCATTCCACTCTTGCCACACTGGTGCAGGTCATGGAAAGAAGCCCCCTTTAAGAAGAATTATGGAGTTCCACATGGAAAATCGACATCCTTCTTTATCCTCCACCCTGAATTGGTCTCTTGGTGAACCTGGCATCGGGTACTCCCTGAACATAGAGAGTATTCAGTACATGGGACAAGCGTGGAGCGGACAGGAAAGTCCTTGGGCTCTAGAATCAGAGTTTATGAGACCTCTGGAATGTCATTTAAACCACTTGAAACTCTATTTTTTAAGATGTGAAATGGGGATAATATAAACTACTCTCCGGTTTATGAGGAATAAATTCTATGAGATATATAAGCTACATGGCACAATTCGGAAATAGAGTAACTATTCAATACATTTATTTTGCTTCCTGGCCTATGAAAGAACTGAGTTAAATCCAGCAGACAGTGACTGGGCACTCTGTGCCAGGCAACTTGCTGAGCACAAAGGAGGCAAATATCCAAGCCAACCATCCTTCTTTCTTTTCTTTCTTCCCTCTTTGCTTCCCTCCACCCACCATGTGTGCTGAGGACCTAGTTTTCCCAATGAAATGGCATAAGAAAAGGCACTGATCTGTGTGGGATGAAGAAATGCTGAGGGGGTCCCTCTCGAAGAGATGCCCTGGAACCGCCATCTGGAGCTGGAGTCACCGAAGCAGCGTTCCAGGTGAGGGAATTTGGTAGACAGCAGAAATGGCCATAATACTTTGCAGTTCCTTCCATCGAGAGGTGGAGTCTATTTCTCCACTCTCTGAACCTGGCGTGTCCTTATAACTGGCTTTGATGTCATGCATGTCCTGAATCTGGCCTTTTAGA